TAAAGTCCAAGGTTTACAAACAACCCCACCAAATTCTTAATCTTAACAAGAACGAACCTTAAAAAGAATGATGTTGCAACGATTCATTAACAGAAGGAACTTTTTTGCTTATGTCCAAAATACAAATCTATATTCCTCCATTAATATTAAATCGCAAAAGAGTTCATCACTTAATTGAAAAGTATCTTGATAAGAATAAGCTCTTTTTCAATCATTAGAGCAAACAAATCTCACAATAAGCGATAAGCACAGATCTCTTCTGTAGTAGGCATCAATAATTTTCTTGCATAAATAGAGATAAAAAGATTAATTAGCATGAATTTACCAAGACTTGTGGCGATTACGAATAACATATTGATGCAAGCTGAGGTGAATAATAAAAGAGGATAAATCTTGATCAAAACTTAATCATCAATAGCATCAATATAACACCTCATTTCGGGCGAACTAAGAAGCAACCAATCCAAATTAAGTTATCATAATACACGAAAAAGAAAAAGAAAGATATAACAAAAGAAAAAACTACCTCATTTCGTGGCTGATGGTTGCTTGCAGATGAGCGAGGATGATCATGATTTCGAGCACTACCACCTTCCTCAGGTGATCTTGTGCATGCAATAAGTCTTGCAATAGCCGCCGGATCAATTGTTTGCCCAAGTGTTTTAGTTAAGATCTCGGCGAAACCATGAACCAAATCTGCCTTCTGCTCTTCAAACTTTTTTGTCAACTCTTGCTCAACTTTTTATGATATAGTTTGAACGACAGATTCTGGAACTTGCTCATAAGGATCCATGATCTTTTTATTTTTATTCTGGAGCATGGTTTTAGTGACACCCCTCCCCATAAGACGTACACGTCCAGGATGTTCATCTTTCTTGACTAAATCCCATGCATCATCAACTTCATCTTGAGATTTGACTTCTTCTAAAGCACCATGCATTAGCAAAATTTATATTTAGTTGCTATGCATGTTATATGAAAATTAGGACCTAAAAAGCAATATATGAATATTAATATTTAGGAAATATGGCACATACTTACTATCAAATTGATTGTTTTCTCTCCTTGTGGATTTATCTTCTTTTTACGGGTCTCAATAAATATTTCAGCTTCACTTGGAGGTCTTCCCAACTCATTTTCCTATAATAAAGACATGATAGTTAAACTATTGATAAATACATTAAAAACGAATAGAAAGAAAGGATGCAGTTAATAAGTAACATTAAAAAAATTTTGAAATACCGTTTTTGGCGAATCCTCGCAAAACTTATTATTCCCGTAGTGTGCATATATTCTAGACCTTCACGATTTGCTTTGTTGGTCTCACTTGTTTTCTACACATATAGAAGGAACGTGGATTTAAAAAACAACCAGACCATTAGTATGAAATGATAAACGAGTGAACAAGAAACAATAAACGAGCCTATAACTCCTGTAAGTATGAATTCAATAATTTATATATGCAGCATAATAAAATGCATAAGGGTTAGTCCATGTCCAGGTCCAGTGTAGTAACACTCGAGCAAGTTCTGACCATAGGAGTAACTAAAATGTTTTCCCCCATAACCAAAGTCCTGTATTAGATAATTAATGCAATAAATATGTAACTTATTCCTCTTTTTGTTAGTGTCAACTTGAGTTTCGTATGTGCATGAAGTTTGTACCAGGAATTGCCATCGCCTAATAGCTTTCAGTGTAAAGTTTGGAAGATAGCGTGTAAAATTTGTGGACATGTCTGTTTCAATTTAACAATAACTGAAACTTCTTTTAAACCCACTCTGATTATTACTGATTAATACTGCAGAACACTGAAAGTTCATGGGGGTTTAGTGTAACTAATTAGCATTCATAAACCTATACTATATTATACAAAATTTTGCCAATTCCTTTCCTACTTTAGAACTGGCAGCTTCTGGTATTACTTGAATGTCCATAGTTAACAAAGCAGGTAGGTAAACATTTCTAACTTCTTCCATGCTTTGACAACTCTTAACACAATCTGAAACTATTTATATTATTTTATTAGCAAATAGATAGCTGTGACAAATAACTTCTTCCATGCTTCGACAACTCTTAACACTAATCTTCCAGGATCTTCTATCTTTCATTTTCATTGACATTTTCATTCAAAGAATTGCCAGGAATGCTTACCGTGTTGTTAATTTCTCGGCGTTGCAGCAATTGCTGCTGAAGGCTTTAAACCAGCTCATGAAGCTTTTGAATGTTCTTTTCTTGAGATAATTATATGCAACAACAAGAAACATTTTATTCACAACGGAATTTCAATGAAACTTCTGCTATGGATAAAGTGAAAAAAAAATTATGCCTACAACTATTAACAACCTATTATTGAGGAAAAACAAGAAAAAGGTTTACAGAAAATTTTAAATAAAAATACATAGCACTAATTAAGAAGTGAATTTAGAAGTGAACCTAAACAAAAATTATTATTATGACTTAACTAATCATATATAATACCACCAAGCTTCCTGCAAACATGCGTCACTAGTAGAAAAACGATCAACCTAGACAGAAATTTCCGTCTAGGTTGATTGCAATTCCGTCTAGATTAGGTCATCTAGACGGAATTCCGTTTAGTTTGAGTGGTTTATTTTGCTTCCGTCTAGATTGCTTCAAACTAGACGGAATTCCGTCTAGGTTGATCAATCTAGACGGAAGTCAACCTAGACGGAATAAAGAATTCCGTCTAGGTTGGTTTTTTACAACCTAGTCTGGTCTGTCAACCTAGACGGAATTTCCGTCTAGGTTGGTTTTTTACAACCTAGACGGAAATTCCGTCTAGGTTGATTCAATCTAGACGGAATTCCGTCTAGATTGCCTTTTTTCAGGAAAAAAAAAATTAATTAAAATTTGTATTTCCCTGTACAATTATATTAATATTTGAATACATCCAGAAAATACTGTATACGCCACATTCAACCATCCAATCATAATCAAAATTCATAACAATTCCATTCAAAAACATCTATATAACCAAATCCAACACATTGTACAAATCCAACTATCCACTTCAAAATATACATCAATCAGTTCCGTCTAAAACACATCCAACAACATATATACTAACAATGCACATGACTAAGATAATACACGACATGAATAAATGTAGTGTTATAACAAATAAAACTGTTTATTGCATTAAAAATAAAAAAACCTCATCCATCGTCGTCGGCGGGGGTATCTCTATCCCGATTACGAGAACGGGTGCTGCTCCCTCCAATATCTCCACTCTGAATGTTTAATTGAATAATCATTATGTGGTGTTTGATAACATATTAGATAAAAATGAATTTATAAATATAAGAAAAAATAAGGTACCTGAACACTACTCTGTCTAGCGCCGGAATTATCGCCAATCGAGCTAATGATCCGTATGACACCACCATACGCGCTATAAGGAATAGTACCGCCTAACCATGAGATCGTTCATTGAGTTCGCCGTCAGCGCAACTCTAGTCATCTCATTAGTCACCTGAATATGCAGCTCCGGGTCAATTTTGTCAATCAGATACGCAGAGATACGTGCGACAAATGGCATAGCCTGGAAACTGCTTGTGGCTGCTCTCGTCGATGTAGATGGTGTGGAGGATGCTGTGGACGATCTGATGCTTATACCAGATGAAGCTCTGACACCATGCAGAGGATATCTTCCTCTCCTATTATTAGGGAGAAATAAATATTAAACTTTACTCTCAAATTCAATAATGGTAAACAAATATAAATAGTATGTAGTATTCAAATTGATTCGATTTTTCACCATCCTTACCTATTATGACCCATCAGGTTCTGTGTGAGATTGATGTTCTCCTCTGCAGAAAGCATGTAAAGGTCTGGCTCGGTTTGTTCCTCCTCCTGCGAAATGTAGACAGATGCAACCTCCTTGGATGCGGTCTCAAATCCCTCCTAAAGCACAAATTTATAGTTAATTCAAGATAATGACCATATTATTTGTGTTCTCGTTTCCTCGTAATGTTAACAAAATAGAATTAATAATACTACTAAAGATATGTATAAGTCTCACCACTAACTCGAGATTTGCCGTGATCTTATCCCGATTCCTCTCATCACCCCTATATTGTTCACGAAAAGTACCATATGCCGCTCTGGCCCTCAAGTGTATCGGCATTAATGATTTCCCCTGTCATATTATAAATTATGAGATTTCATAATCATACTAAACATTAAGATCTTTTAAATCTTTAAATGACATATACCGTATCTTGACAATAAACATCCTCCAGATTGGCGTAGGAGTGTGAGCCCAAGTGATGGTCATGCAGCTTCTTTCTTCTATTTTCTGACCCCTTCGTGGATTTATTCTTTAAAAAAAATTCTGTAAATATAAAATGAAATAATATCTTAAAATTATAAACTAAATTTCATGAAACTAACCTTGGCGGCATCGCTGTCCCAATACATGAGGAGAGCCGTGAAATGAATCTCGTCAACTCGGTCATCGAGGTTTAAAAACCTCTGCCAGTCCTCCTCATACCTATCATAGGTTTCATGTTTGATCTCATGCCTCCATTGTTTGAGGACTGCTTCAACCTTGACATTAAACACATAATTCCAAGCCCCCTCAAAGTCCTCAAGGCAGAAGCAGTCCTGTAGATTTACATACACATTTAGTAAGGATAATTTAATATCAATTACTAATTATTAATAAATGAAAATCTAAAACAATATGCACTTACCATAAGCGCAGTCCATATCGCCTCGTATGCGGTCCATGGTAATTCTCGAAAATGAAAATAAGGGTTGATAATGGTCGCTCTACGCACGAGAACCCCAATATATGCATTCAATCGGGCCGACCAAGGACCAACGGGTAAATTAGAACTATTCCACCTAATAATGGCCCTCATTCCTCTTGGCGGTTGTTTAGACTTAGGCTTACCTCCGCCACGTCATCCCTCTATGCGATCTGACTTAGCACCTACAATAATAACAACATGATAATATATCATATAATATACAAATGTGAAAATTAAAAGTATTTATATAATTTACCATTCGCTATCTCTCTTTCTTTTGCTGCGAGTGCAACAGCTTTCCTAGTCTCCAACATAGGAAGCATTTCCTGATACCTTCTCGCAGCACGTGGGTGGTACTTCCTTGAATCAGCCTTGGACTTATGAGAGTCCGGAGGTAAAGGTAAACTGAGAAAGTCCTGGGTCTTTGGCCGCAAGTCAGTATGGAATGTATATGATGGATATGTCGGGGTCCAAGTAGCACCTACATAAGAAAGAAGAATCATTAATATTAAATTTTAATTGAACATTATCAATTATTAAATATTTAATACCTGCGTCGGGGGATGGTTCTGGTGCTGCATCAGAGGGGCCGGGTGATGAATATCCAGCATCTACAACAAATGAACACTATGAGCTAGATAACTAAAAATTTATAAAACATGTTAAAGTATTAATTAATTTTTATACCTGCATCCGGAGATGGTAGTGGATCATCAGCACCACTACCTGGGGTGATACTCCGTGAGCGATCACCCTCCAGGTCAAAGAGCCTCCTCATCCTCCTCCTCATCTGCAAATATAATAAAGACAATCGTTAAGAAAAAATTGTATACATGCTCATGAGATATGTTGTTATGAAATGCATTATTGTTTTTATTATGATAAGATAAAAATCGATAATATGGTGTAACATATCAGGTTCATACCTACATCCAGCGCCACATTCTGTGCGTAAGAGAATTCTTGCCAAACATCATCAGATGAACCGATTGGTTCACTATAATTATCTTCACTTTCTTCAATATTTTTTTCATTGTTATTAGGAAGAACAACAGATCTTGGCTCCTTGTACAAAACCACCCAATCATACATGACATTCGGATCTTTCACATAGAAGCACTGATCAGCTTGTTCTGCGAAAATGAATTTCTCATCCGTATATACTTCTCGGTGAAGATTGACTAGTGTAAATCCATAATGATCCTTTTGCTTTTTTGCAGGACACCACCGAACCTTGAACATCGTGTAAGTACATTGTTTTGGTTTACCAAACCCGTAAATTACCTCAACGATATCTTCTAATTGGCCATAATATAATATGTCAGCTAGAATTGGATTCTGATCTCTTATACTTGAAAAACATTCTTGGGCAAACAAGCCCATGACCCCACTGTTCTGAGTTACCCTCCTATCATCGGTCTCTAATGTTCGAAATTTATATCCATTCACCAAATGCTCATTATAACGTCTCACTTCGTGATAAGGACGTTGTGCATGGATAATAATTTCATCTGGTAATGTAGTATCATCAAGAAGTGATTTTTCAACCTAAGACAAACAATTTGAGAATATTTAGGCGATGTTATATTATGAATGTTCAATAATTAATTGTAAAACACTTACATCAAATCTTAACCAATCAGAAAATTCTTTCCTATGTCTTTTCTGAATATTATGCGCTGCATTCCTACCGGTTGTTTCATTCTTAAGCTTCTCCAGATGTCGCCTATATAAACAATATATAAGTTTGTATTGATAAACTATATGTAAAATGAATATTTCTCATCTATATTACAGATTTTATTTGTTACCTTCGATAGTCTTCGAACATATCAAGGTTTTCCAACACATATGCATGAATTTGATCTAAGAGAGATCTCGGGTATTTTTCACGCTTCCTCTCCTTTTGAGGTGCTTGAGATGTGGTTTTCTTCTTACGCATGTAACGTGATGCAAACACAAAGCATTCGTTAGCCACGTATCCTTCAGCTATCGAGCCCTCGGGACGAGCTCGATTGCGAACATTGTTTTTCATGCAGCCCAAGTATCTTATAATCATAAAAGTTAATTATTAGCACGGTAATTTGAAAAACGCGTATACAATTAATAAATATAAGAAAAATCATAAATTACCTTTCAATCGGATACATCCAACGATAAGTAACAGGACCGGCGATTCTAGCCTCTCTTGCAAGATGCTGGGTAAGATGGACCATAATTGTAAAAAATGAAGGAGGGAATATTACTTCCATATTGCATAGAGTAACTCGGACATCGGCTTCAAGTTTCTTAAAGTCATCTACATCTATGACTTTAGAGCATAATTTTCTGAAAAATCCACAATACTCAATAATAATCTTCGACGCTTCTTTATCCATATTGTTACGGATTGCAACAGGGAGCAATTGATGGAGAAGAACGTGATAATCATGTGTCTTCAGACCTAAGAGTTTTCTCTCTTGCACCTGGACATTATTTGAAATGTTAGCAGAGTAACCATCCGGCGACTTTACCGATTTGAGAATTTCACAAACTCGTTGCATCTGCTCATTTGACATTGTAACACGAGACGGAGGCAACTTTAATTTTTTAAGGCCAACGTCTTGAGCTTGCAAATCATTTCGGATATTCAAAGCAGTCAGATCTTGGCGCGCCCGTAGATCATCCTTCGACTTGTTTGCATCTTGTAGGAGAGTTGATACTATGTTATCACATATATTTTTCTCAATATGCATAACATCTAAGTTGTGTCGGATTTTTAGATTCTGCCAGTAAGGTAGCTGAAAGAAGATACTAAATTTAGTCCATCCTCTAGGTAATGTTTGGGCTTCGTCCTCAACTTGCATTTTACGGACCTTTCGCTTACGCTTCAATGGCTTTTTTAACTTTAAGTAATCTCTTACTCCGAGCGTGTTAAATTTAGAATAGCGTTTTTTCCCAAACACAACTTTTGGAAACCCCTCAAGTAATTGAACGATCTCAGTACCTGTCAGTTGACGCGGCTTCATTCTTTTCTCAACTGTACCATCAAACTTAGCTGATAATTTTCTGTACTTATGACTCAAGGGCAACCACCTTCGATTAAACCAATAACAACTCTTTCGGCTATGTGGTAATTGAATAGCTTCAAATTCTGGACCACATACAGGACAAGCACACTTGCCCTTCGTAGAGTACCCTGACAGATTAGCATAAGCTGGAAAATCATTAATCGTCCATAGTAGAATAGCACGTAATCTAAACGACTCTTTTAAATGGGCATCATATGCTAAAATACCCTCAGACCATAATTGTTTTAGCTCATCAATTAGAGGCTCTAAGTAGACATCAATATCATTTCCCGGAGCATGCTTACCGGGTATCAGTAATGAAAGTATCATAAACGGCTGTTTCATACAAAGCAATGGAGGTAAATTATATGGCATTAATACAACTGGCCACGTAGACCAGCCAGAGCTCATTACCCCAAATGGATTGAATCCGTCGCTTGATAGACCCAATCTTACATTTCTGCAATCTTCGGCAAAACGAGGATAAATTTTATCAACATGCTTCCAAGCTAAAGCATCAGCAGGATGTCTCAATTTACCATCGTCTACTCGATCATCCTTATGCCACCTCATATTCTTTGTCGTTTCCTTGTTCATGTATAATCTTCGCAATCTAGGAGCCAATGGAAAATGTCGAAGCACTTTGACTGGAATTTTCTTCTGTGTTATCCCTGTCTCCGTTGTAATCCTTGTTGAAGAATTTGTGCGCTGTTTCCACCTAGAAACTCCACATGTCGGACACTCTTGAAGGTCTTTATTAGATTTGTGGTATAAAATACAATCATTCGGACATGCATCAATCTTATTATAATCAAGACCCAGAGCAGAGACAATCTTCTCAGCTTGATAAGTTGTTTGGGGTATGCTATTCACTCCTCCAGGTATTACAGTTCGAAGCAAATCAAGAAGCATTTCAAAATAATTATCTGACATACCGCTAAGTGTCTTAATATGAAGGAGTTTCAGCATAAATGAAAATCTGGAGTACTCGGTACATCCCTCATATAAGTCCTTTTCACTATCTTCTAGTAGCTCCATTATTCGCTTTATTTCTGCGGAGGAATGCATATCATCAATATTTTCGACACTAGCGACACCTCCTACCTCTTCAGCTTCAACTTCGTTATCATCTTCACTTTTGTCTCCAATATCATCCTCGACATTATCATCAACATCATATTCTGTAGGTCGAGGAAAAATATCATTCAACAATGTTTCTGTGTCATCTATTCGTTGGCCACCGGACGTACCAACATGCATATTTGGATCCTCACCTTCAGTGATACCTTCCCCCAGTGATACCCTCCCCATGCTAGTTCCAGTATTTATATTTCTCATCAAAACCTGATTTTATTAGGTGAATCCGTATATCATTTCTATTCAGCAGCTTCAAATTCCTACACCTACAACAAGGACAGTACCTAGCACCGCTTCTTAAATTTCTCGGATTCATTTCCGCATAACGCATGAAGGCTTCACATCCCTCCTTGTATCGTGTGTCATGAAATCTACGATGCCTAGGGATATCTATCCATGACTTGTCAGGAATTATCCTCATCTGTAAATTATATATAAATATTAAATACGATTAGTCTCACAACTACTAATACATCCATTACTCTTATACATTCAACACACATCAAACATACGTTCATATATCATTTAACAATATGAATATTTATCTACATAAAATATATATAAAACATACGTAAAAACTAATTACACTAATCTTGCGGCTGTCATAGGAAGGCTTCTATCCATTAAGAATGTAGTAGTGCTTACATCCAACTTCATATACTTTGTATATTTTCATTTTTTGAAAATTTCGGCAGCACCTACCCATTGTTCTCCCTGTACACTGTGCGGATGTTATTATGCGTATCAGTAATAACCCGAAACGCAGAACAACATACGCTTATTGTACACGGAGAACAATGAATAGGTGCTGTCAAAACTTTCAAGAATGAAAATATACAAAGTATACAAAGTTGGATGTATGCACTACTATATTCCTAACCCGTCCGAGAAGGACAGATCCAATAATTACGAATTTCAGTACCAATTTTTTATTCCTATAATATAAAATAAACGCTCATTTTTGGGAGAAAACTTCGTCTCCTACCCAAATCTGAGTCGTATATCATATATTATAAGTCCAAATAATTGGATGTAATTATTGGACGGAAGTCTAGGGATAACGTTATTTTTTTATTCACCTAAATTGGATTATAACACATTATAAAAATTTATAATGTGTTATATATCACTCTATTTTTTAAAAAAAAATTATTTCACATATTTTCACATCACAAACTTAAATAATCACACATACTTATAGCACGAATGAAACTTAAATGAGTTAGGGTTTATAAGTGTTTATACAAAATATGATTACTGGTGTTGTTCAAATGAATTAACATGTAGTTAAGTTAGGGTTTTCAGAATTGAACTCGTTTATTTTTTTATCATAAATTAGGGTTTCTAAACTAAATTCAACAATAAATAATAATAATTTAAAAATTCTAAAGCTAAGTAGCAAAATCATAACCTTTTAAACTGATTCAACAACGGACACGCCGGCGCGGCCTCCGGGAGGCGTGGGTCGGTGAGGCGGGGGCTGCCGATTGGGAGGGGCTCGTCAGAGGGGGAGGGGGAGGTCACGAGGGGGAGGATGGGCGTGGAGGGGGAAGGCGAGGGCATACCCGAGGGGGAGGTCGGGAGGGGGGGAGGGGGCTGCTCGGGGGGGAGCGGAGAGGGGGGGATTGGAGGTTGGTCGAGGACGGAGGATGGGGGGCTAGGGAAGGGTGTGGCGGGAGGGAGCGCGGGGTCCGGAGGGGGCCGGGGTGGTCGGGGGCGGGGCGGGGGCGCGGAGGCGAGGGGCGGGAGCGCCGGAGGAGGGAGGTCGGGATGGGCGGATGAAGGCGCCGCGGGCTAAGGGGCGGGCGAAGGAGGGGGGAGCAGCCGCAGGGGGGCGGCGGGGGAGGGGGGATGGCCTCCGGAGGAGGGGGGAT